GCATCCAAGAGACAAGAGCTGAAACTCAGGAGAAATCCTGATGTCAGTGGGGAGCAGAACAGTTGGATGAGGTCCACTATGCATATTCAAATGAGGAAATACAACATTACCAGGAAATAGGCTGTGTATTAAACCTGCAGTCATTTGCTTTTTATTCAAAAAGACAGAGCAAGGCCAGAAACACAAACAAGTGTGGTATGCACTGGCCTCACTGGGATCAGTGGACTGAAAAGAGCAACACAAAGGAAAGGAGGAGTGCACAGGAGCACAGTATAACAAAAACAAACTCTGTGGGCGTCAGTTACGCAAAGAAAAACACATATTACAACACAGAATTACAGAATTAGAAGCAAAAAATACCAACTGGCAACTTTAACTCAAAAACATCACCACTAGTTTGCAATATTCACTATAAACACAGCTTTCACGATGTTTGTTGGCCTTGTGTCGATCCCACTGATGTGGCAATCTGCCTCATCCCTCCCTGTAGAGAGAGTGATGCGCACCTTGGATTTGCTCTCTCAATCAGGATTATGTTAATCTGCTGTAATCTCCTAACAGACGCTCACACAGCCTGCACAAGACCAGAGCACAGAGAGACAACATGAGCTTCGAACGATACAGACTGAGGCCGGTATATGCAGAGCATGCTCACAGAGAAAATACACCAGAAAAACAGGACATCAAATAGCACTGTAAAAATAATGAAATGACTCACTAAACTTTCATCATTACTTAATTAACATAAGTGTGCAACTACACCATTTACCTGTGGGAGCTGCTACAATGACAACAAAATATGATCATGCAATGGTGGAAGTAAACTGTTTTCCCTCCCTAAATTCATTACTAAAGTAAATGTGGCAGTCCTCAAATGCCTGGCATTATATGAGCGGGCCCTCACGCCACACAATAGCTCCGACCTATCACAGTTGAGAGACAGGACCTTTTGAGGTGTCTGACAAGAGGAGGCTGGTAACAGATTCAAGGGGATATGGCATGGAGCCTCTGGATCATGTCTGTTCCAGCACAGTCTGCTATTCAGGTCACCTGCATGCAATTGTATTGTTTTGGCCCATTGGTTTATATGGATCGATGTATTTAAAGCCCAAAATGTTACAGTTGTTGTTTTTTTTACCTTTACATTGGGTGGTTAAATAAATAAATAATATCAGAAATGCTGTTCTGTTAGAACTGTGGTCACATTCATGTGTTATGTCTGTTTTTCCAATAAATGGAATTGTTGAGCTTTTCTGCCTTTTATTGGAATCTGTATAAAGGAAATTTATACCATGTAGGAATTTCCAGCAATTGTAGTCAAAGATATGCGCACGAAGGCCATGGACACGAAAGGATAAGTGCCAAACAATCTAAACCTCTCACAAAGATTTGCTAAATGACAAATGCTTTGTAGACCTGAGATTAGATCTGGCAAAATTAATTATAAGACACTTTAAACACAGCATAGTACAAGAAAGAGACAATAAAATGTACTTTTAATAAAATCAAGAAATTCAAAGGTTAAACCATCACCAGCATGTATCAGTAATAAACTGCACTTTCAGTTTGGATAGAATGAATAATACTGTAACTCACTGTATGAAATAACTTGTACTAATGTTAAAATATGATTTCTATTGTACGGGATTATCATTCCTTAATGCACTCAGATGTAAATCATTTTGCTTGTAATGCTGGGTGACTGAGTAAAATGTACTTCACTGCTTAGTTTAGGACAGTGTTGAGAAAAGTAAAGTATTTCTTTTTGTAGAATAAAAATGGAAAACATCGAGGCAAATATAAGAGTCCTCAAACGATCACTTGTTGGTCAAATTCACTGTTTAATTAGTTTATCACTTATTAGTAGCTCCTTTAAATGTCCCCAAGAACATACAAGAACGATCTGGGGGAAAAAATCCTTTTAATAGAGCCTGCTGACAAATATCTTTTACATAAATTATGAAAAGATTTGGCCCCAGTACAGACACCTGGGGGACACCTGGCAAATTTAAAGAAAATGCTCAAAGTACAGAAGTGGTTTGACAGCACAAAAAAAAAAGTAAAGTAAGTAAAAGTAAAATTCTGATATTTGTGAATTGTAAAAGGAATACACCATTCTTGATTCATAAAACATGGGATGGACACTGAAGAGTTCGTGAAAATAAGTTTCTTGATGTGATAACAGGCGAAGTCAGAAATCTCAGATAGAACATATACATAGTGAGGTTTTGAGAAGCGTTTCAAAACTGCATAAAATAAAACACAGAAATCCAGAAATCACTACTCTACTACAATCTCTACTGCTCACTGGTTACACCATATTCAGATGACTGTTTAGAGGTTTGGAGCAATATTTATAAATACTACTAGCATAATTATTTATATTGCAAAAAAGGACCAGAAGGATAATCCATAATAATGGTTACAAAATATCATGGATCATCTATAACACTATACCCTTAAAATCCAAAACAATAAAATTCACCAGTGTGGTTCATTTTCACACTGTACAAATTCTGTATAAAACAATAAACTATACTTCCTACTTACTTAGTTCCTCACAATATCCAAAACATTTTTTTACAGGGATGGTGGATAATATTTGAGGGGGGAGTTATATTTAAACCATCTCTGTGTTCGTATGTAATAGAAAGTTTTTGATCTCTCTATGTGGAGTGAAGCTGCGAAACAGACTGAGTGATGAATGGAAGCATGACAATTTTTTGAAGTAATGGGGGGAAAAGGCTTTGACCTGTTACTTTTTATTTTTGATAGGTGTGTACATCTGCATATATCTGTAAATACATATATCTGGGTTTATAAAATCAAATAAATGCAGGATACAAACAGGAAGTAAAGTGATTACCGAGTGCAGAATAGGGTAGGATTAAATAAGCATATGCTTGTTTTTACTCCTTTGTGAACACATCAAGTAATTCACTTTGATCATTATTTTCTTGGTGCTTTAATTGTATTATTCTAACATGTTTGAAATAATGTCTTAAAATCTAGAGTCCACTTTTTAAAAAGTAGCCATCAGATTTGTCAGATCGTGTAATTTTTAGATAAACACCACACAGGGCAAATACACAGCAACTGTGATAACAGGTAACGGGAAAAAAATGGTGCACATGCTGTATGAAACCGAGATATTGTTGCATGACCCATTTCTTAAGTCTCTCAGGGAGGTTGGTGAGAATTTACATAGAGACTCTGAGTATGAAAATATAAACAGTGTTATCATCATCAGTAATTCATCCCAACCTCCCAGCAGGAGAAGCTGCTACATCAAAGCCACCACATCCTGCTGCAGTAATGATCAATTACACTGGAACTGCACAGGCATGGCAGCTACTCTAGACCAAAATGCAGATTGGCGCATTTAAATGCAGGTCAGAGTGAGATGCATTGAGAACAAGAAATAAGTAGGGCAGCAGGGAGATGGCAAGGAAGCACAGTTTGGTGTGAAAGAGCTGTTTCTCCTAGAGTATTAGTTGGATTTTTTTTTTTTTTAAGATTTTGGGTGTAAACAGTGCAAATGTAAAGGTTTTATTTTTTTAGCCTGTTTGTGGCATACCTACATGATTAGTAGTTAGTTTGCCAGGTTGCCAGTAACAGTGATCGAAAGTGAAACGTCTCAACAACTTCAAAACAGATTGAGATAATAATTAAAGACCAAGCAACTTACTTATCCAGTCGTGCCACAAGTGGATTAAAGTTTTTAGGTTAGAGCAGTATTTGGAACACATGTTCGAGGTTACCACAGGATGTTTCCTAGCCTAGGATGACCACCAAGCTTGAAATGAATTGCTCTCCAGAAAATCTCCTGGTGCAGGCTGTATCTGTGCACACATTAGCACATTAAATGTTTCACCAGCACAATTTAGGTTTTGAAGCAAAAACAAATATATAAAAATAACAAAAGTATCACTACAAAATTAAATACATACTCTAAATTTTATTGTAAACACAACCTCAACAACTTTACCTGTACTGTGTGCTTAGGGCTTTATGCTGAGTGATAGTGTATTAAAATACTATGCTAGATAAGAGAGATTTAGCATTGCTGTTGTCAGCATGCTGACATTTGCATTTTACTCAAAGCATCTGCAGCCCCACAGAGCTGCTGGCTACTCTGCTCAAACCAGAATGATCACATTACAGGTGTCTGCCAGCCAGTCTGTCCAAATGAAATGTATAATGTGAAGGTTGGTGCTACCAATTCAGTGAACTATACCAATTATGAAATATGGTCACAATCCTCCTTCTGTTCCTGAGGTATGTGTTTGACCAATGGTCATAAATCTCATTAGAACATTAAATTTTACATACATGAAAGTAAGTAAGTAGATTAAGAAGGTGAAATATCCGAACCTTTACTTCCAAAATCATTTGTTCCAAATGTACTGAAATTCTCTCTAGTTGCACTCGGGAGTGAGGTCATAGTAAAATTTGATGACCAAAATCTAATCAGTTCAGCCCCAAGTCCAAATTAACTTTTGGGCTGGATGTTAAAAAAATATACATAAATCCCTCTAGGTGGGCCTGGGAAATAACTTAAAAATGAGAGAGATTTGACCTTTGATGAACCTGACCTGTTGATTTTTGCGTCCAAGTGAACGTTTATTCCAGATGTAATGAAATGCTCTCCAGATGTTTTTCAGTTATAAGATGAAAATAGAGATCGATAGAAAACACAACCAAGAGCATAATATCTACAGCCACTTGTGTCATGGAACTAAGGACGTGGTTCCTATAAGCTCACTTTCACAATCCTTATGAATGCTTTATCTCAGAAACACCTGGAGAGGATGTCATTGGATCTGGTACAATCATTAATATACCCATAGATCTCATATCTCCCCAAAGTATCAAATTAAATTCTACTAAAACATAACTGTGCTTTAATTGTTGATCTGCTATTCATGTCAGTTTAATTTAGAAGTCTGAAGGCACGATCAATATTTCCCTCATAAAAAAAACATCACTCTAAAAACCTGAAAAGTACAGAACCGCTTTATTAAATTCATAACAGTATAACTATGAGAGAGTACTGTCCAAACAAACAGCAGTGTGGTCATTCATGGATAAGAGAACAGGAGGAATGATAGATGGCGGCAACACAGCCTTCACGTGTTCTCCAAATGTTACTTATTCAAAAAAAAACAATACATAAAATCCTTCTTTTCACTAAAGCAAGTTAATGAACGATTACAATAAGAGATATAAAGAACAAACACGAATGAAATTGCATTTACTTCTCTGATTTCCTCAATAGGTTACATCTGCATACTCAGGCCTACTGATAAACATGTCACTTGTAAAATAATGAACTGTCTTGGCTCAATCATGTTTTCAAACCCAGGTTTGGACAAAGGTCAGACTTGGTCAGCTGCAGAAAAGGCGCACACACATTACACACCTTCAGCTATTTTTTTTCCTCATTGGAAGTAATGTTCAAGTTATTCTCCATTCAAGTGCCACAACCCTCACTACAGCATGGGTGTGAACGCTCAGGCGTGACCGTGATTGCAGGGGTAATCCGCACTTAAGTCAAACTATGTCAAGCTTTTGTGGTTGTTTTGCACTTGGCGTCTTCGCCTCCTGATTGTTCAAAGTTGGTGCAAAGTTTGCCCTTTGATTTTGAGACTTGCACCAAACCATTGAATCATAATTATGACTCACTGTAAGTGGGTGTGACATAGCATTGTTCACCTTTAGTTCGAGAGCCATTGTTTAAGGGAAGTATGCTATTTTGTCAGGAGTCAAAACCACCCAAAAAAAAACAACAATTTTTTTTAAAGTTTACCCTGAGATGAAATCTCCATGTTACACATCCAATAATCATGTGAAAAAGGGGCATATTTTAGTCTACAGAACAGGCAACACACGTGGCAACGGTACAATATTAAGTACAATTTGCTGGTGTTCAATTTAAAGCTTCTTCTTAGCTCTCTTGTGCTGGGTTAAGCTACAATAGTGTAAGCGTACAAAGAGCACCATGCACCTGTGTAGTAGTGACAAACTCAAAGAGGGTCAGGTAGTCGTATTTTTGGGGATTTAACACAGCAACAGGCACAAACAAGTGCAAAAAACAGACTTGAAGAACAAGTGAGGAGTGCACCACCTAGCTCGGTTTGCAAATGCCTCAGCTGACTTTAAGGCTGATACAAGTTCTTGACGGTAAAATTGCTACGTGTACTTTAAAGTTGTATTCTGAAGAAATAACCGCCATACATTAGGGTCCTTTTATTTTGAGGTGTAATTTCTTCTAAGCATCAACCAAAACAGGAAGAGAGATGTCTCACTTTTGCTAGAGCAACTCAAATTTCAGTGGGTGTCAGCAGTACACCGTTCCCAACAGCTGCATCCCTGCCAATAAAATTCCAAACAATCTTTTGACAGAGAAGAGTATAATTAACAACAGATCCAAATTAGGGACTCGTTGGAGTTGGAGGAGAGCGACATGTCAGCATGACATTCATTTATTTCTGGCACAGCTTCAGAATGAGTTTTGTGAGATTGCTAAAGTCATTATGTTTCAAATTCCACATGTAGCAGCTTTAAAAACCAAAGTACAGGCCAATCAGTTCATATGACTTATGGTATATGTTCATTCCCATCTTGAACATCTTATAAAAAGGCACTAATTGGGTAGACATCCAATAGAAATCCTGGGATCAAGATGTGACTCGTGTCCTAAACGTCAGTGGTTTAAAACCGTTTAATCAAACGTGCTTTCGGCTTCAGATTAGCAGTAGACTGCAGTAGTAAAACAGGTGCTTTACCTGACCCTAAATGTGTAATCCGACTAGAAATGTTGGCAGCAGTCGCATACAGGTGTACTTCACAGACAAAGTTAAGTTTCATTAAATGTGGATCATAAAAAGCAACAGAGAGAAACAGAGAACAATCATTTCAACTTATCAGAACACTGGAACCAAAGTCAATGGACTCTGTTAAATAATAAGACTAGTCAGAAAGTTGCAAATGCATTATGGAAAGGTTCAGAATAAAAGTGAGTAGTTACATATGCAAGAGGCAAAAAAAATGTTTGTCCAAGCTTAGATCAGGAAAAAAATATATATGATAAACCTCAAGGAGAACTTGCATCCTTTTATGGTGACAACAGAGTTTAGCTTTGCTCCACCCCAAACTTCATCCTGCTCAAAAAACAATCAACCATTGTTCACTTTGTGTCCCCATGTGATGGTAATGTTTAAAATTACTTCACACACCAGGTCCAGGTTATATGGATAACAAAACTATGTCAAAGTGGCAACTTTAAAAGTGCTTGCCAGTGGATTTTGTTACTCTCCAACACGGATTAAACCTCCTCCCAGACTAAATCCTAGGAGGACCTCCAGGGGAAAAAGTTTATGGTCTATCTCAGCTTAATCCATGTCTGGGAAATGGAGGCAGTAAGACATAGTAATGCTAGCTACTTCCCCATCTGGTGATTGTGCTGGTTTGACTTTACGTTTAACAGATGAAGTATGTAACTGAAACATTTTCCCAAAATGTCAGACTACTCCGGTTAAATCAGAAACTCTTGATGTCGACAGATTTTAGAGAGAAGTTAGAAGATCAAGGGTTACTGTGCTTGCGGAAACATGGTTTCATATCCACATGTTATTGCGACACATCTGACTCTTCACATACTTGTCATAAATCAATCCTCTAGACTTTCACTGGTCGGTGACATTTTAATTCAGTCAACTGAAAACGCTGGTCTTTGAGTGGGGAAGAAGGCGGCCAACTGTTCAAAAGGCCAACCAAATGTCCTTCATTCATCAGCTCCAAAAAACTCCTAACGACATTCGTCAAGACACCAGATGTTAAGTTTTAAGTTCAACATAGCCAGATCCCGCCTACATCAGCAACGTCAACCAAATACAATGCTGAGTGGCGTACTCTCTTTGGTTTGTGTTCAAATAGCGGACTGACGTACAGACAGGTGACGAAATATGAGCACATTTGTGCAAAAATGAACCCTTGATATCTTCTCAAAGCGATGGTGAGTTCAGAAACTCAATTTATGATTGACAGCACAGCTGCTGTGCTGTGTCTGTAGCTGTGTTGTATGCTACAGGCTGAGCTGAGACCTTTGCTGCAGAGTTTAGATACTTAGGAAGCCTGAGTAGACCATTCATGTGTTTACAAAGAGGATTTTCACATCCAAAAGTCTTAAACAGTCAAGATTTTAGATTTTAGATTGAAGGAATTTTAACTTAGTTGTTTTTTTTATTATAGATGAGGCAATGAAGGCAAGTTCTTCTGATTAAAAAAAAAAAAACCAACCAAAGCAAAAACAAAAGCACTTTTTTTTGTTACAATCTAATTAATGACCACCGTCATATTGTAATGGAAGCAGAGATCGTTAAAGAGCCCCTATAACGTATGCAAAGATGACCAAATGCTGATATAATCAGATTTATATTCCTCAAGGATGACTTAAAAATGAGCTTAATCCTGCACGGGCATCTGTCACACTTAACAGAGCACATGACGCTAAAATGAGATTGGTTAAGATCTCGATGCATAACAGTATAAAGCACCGGGTTTTCATGTGATAGTTGCTACTAGGTCTAGAGCTACAGATGTTTATTTACACTGTAGGTGATATTTGAAGGCCACTGGGACCAGAAAAAGTTAAAAGGGACCTATTATGCAAAAATGTTTCTAAAAGGAACAAAATCAATCAATAAAAAAAGGAGGTCAGTAAGAAATCCCCATGAAGGGCAAGGGTTTTTTTTTGTTTGTTTGTTTTTAAACTCAAAGAAAGATTACTGTAAACTGTGAATCATACAAAGCCAGCATGGAAGTGATATCAGCACAATAGGTCCCATTTAAAAAAAAAGTGTCTAAAAACAAACTGCACCATGAAAAAGTGAGAAAATGTGTAGATTTTTTATTTTTTGTTTCCATAATGAAAAATGTTCCAGCTACCAGATCACAGCTCAGCTCTTGGCCATATTTGTATGTGGCTTCATAATTTCTTTTAATGCTCATTATCATCTATAATAGAATAATTCTATTATTTTGAAGAATAATTCTTGTTTCAACTTAGGTAGTCTTTGCATTTCTATTCATGTTAATACTGACCTCAAGAAACTAATATCTGAATGTTCAGTGTTTGAACCAGCCAACCCTTGATTGGGGCGGACCCCCACTTAAATTGATAAATACAATGAAACCAAGATCCAGAAATAAACTGAGTTCTGTTTTAATCTTTAAGTAAATGTTTCTTAAAGATAGATAATATTAAAGCAGAAAGTTAAATTCAGGCAGATGTGTCCTGAACACTACAAAGTCTGAGAACAGAGACATGTCTGATATGCCTGTAAAGTGCTGAAGCACTATATCTGCAACACAGCACGCTGGGCTTGGGGTTTTTCACCTCTGCAAACAGTTAAAACTGTTTCCAGCATTCTGAAGATTTCACATTTCCTGAGCAGATATCTGCTCCACCTAAAGGCAGGACGGTGAAGACCTCATACCTGCACACAAACTCAGTGGATATGAGGACCTCATCTCTTTCTCCGTACTACTACTTCTGGTTGGACCCCAAGGGGTTGATGTAAATTAATGGTTTCACCACTTAGAAGAAACACACACACTGTCTCCATTAATATGTCCACAGAGTCAGTCATCTTTTTGCACCAATGCTGATTGCAAAGCTCTGGATTTCTGGGATTCTTTCCAACCAGTAAATGCTGAGGAATGGTGCAGTAGAAAATGTCAGAGTAACAGGAAAGCAAATATTTTGTTATTTATATTATATAATAAATAATAAAACTTTGTTCATATATTTTTGTATATGTAAATTAAAAAAAAAAAAGTTCAGCCAAAAAGAAAGTGACTGTCTAACAAAACAAACGGACATAGAAGCAGCAATAAAGCTGTTTACAAAAAGAAGTGTGTGTATATATGTATATATATATATATATATATATATTGCCGAATTTTGACTATATCGAGTCGCTGGATACAATTGATCCCAACCCCTGAGTGTTTCAGAGGTTGTTAAGAGAGTAACTTCTCAAAATATCTGATCGCTCAGATCTGCAGTTTGATGAAGCTCCTGGTCACGCTGCAGAAACAACGTTCTGCAACACAAGCAGGCGGATGTTTGACCTGAGGAGGTGTTTAAGGTAGCTGGATTTTTACAGTTCCACGAGACGCCATAGTCTGTTGTCTCTCACCAGCCACTCACTCCCTGGAGGCCAAAAAGGTTTCTCCTCCAGCCTAATCCAGTCTGTCAACCCAAAAATATGCATCCACACTAAGAAAAATGCTGACAACGAGGCCTCAGATGTTAACGCGAAAGGAGTCCCAGCTGTCCCCTTTGCCACTGCCGCTCCCATTCTTGGCTGCCCCCATTGTTGCCATCCCATCTCCAATGTCTCCATCCGGCTGTTCCCCGGTGGGAGTGGAACCAGGCTCCGGGTAATACTCGTCATCCTCGTCAAAGTAGCCATTCTCCATCATGCTGAGGCTGGAGGCTGCGCTAAGGTCCTGGCAGCTCCCCTTGTACTCCTGGATGGACTCGTGGAGCGACCACAGCTGGCACAGCAGGGACATGTCCTGCTGACGCAAACCCACCTGCAGGGGGCAGTATAGGGATTAGCATTAAAAAACCCAGGGAAGTACAGCTGCAGCTAACTCATTAGCTTATTCGATTATTTTTCAGCAGCTTGTTGCCTTTTTAATTGTTCACAGTTTAATAATTAAGAAACCCAGAGATAATGTTCTACAAATTTTTTAAACGTGTCATTTTGTCTAATAACCTGGGATTATAATCGCTTGACATGAACACAAACAGCTACAGGAACCACGAACAAGCGGCTCTGCTTTCATTTTCTAAATTACTTCACGGACATATGCATAGCAGGTGCCCTTATAGTGTAGTGCCACAACAAGCTGGGTGTAAGGACACAAACATGGAGCCTAGCAAGTTTTCCTTTAAATGATGAAATTTACACCAGTTGCACCACTTAAACTCTCCAACCATCCTTCAGTGGCCAATATTGCCTACAAATAAAAGCTCAGTCTTATACTTCTGAGCATTCAGTAACCAGGATCTTTCTACAGCAAGTAAATCTTCCAGGGTTCCCACAGGCCCATTTAATAATAAAATGGGCCTGTGGGGCTTTTACCGGCATAATAGCCAATTTATTTTTTAAATATAGATGAATGAATTCATTGTTTTAGCTCCAAAAACATCTGTCTGGCAAATCACCTTAATAACTTGGCATTAGTCAAAATCTGATTTATTTCTCAACCGTTTAGCACATAAACAGAAAGATAAGCAACAAAAGAGTGACTGTAAAGGAATTATTCAAGTAAAATACCTAAACAGTCACTAAATTTAACCTCTAACAAAGAAACAAAAAGAGAAGAAAGTAATAAAAATAATCCTCGCCTGTGGCCTCAGCTGACTCTGTGACATCGGTGTGTCAAGGCCACGATGATGGTGTGTAAAGGGCATTTTTGCTGCTGACCTCACGGCTGAGCTGACAGTGCAGTTTGAACTTAGAGGCACGGCACACTCAGTGGTCAAGCATAACACAGGCAGCTAAAACGCACACCAAACACTGTGCTCTTTAAAACTGCACAGGGACAAGCTTAGAGTCTTTAAAAATATAGGACACTGACAACTTATTAACTACAACAACCCCACAGTAATACATTAACAGCAGCAAAGCAATAAGGCTAACGTTAGGAACCTACTCTGCCAAGGCTAAAGGACATAAAGAGTCAGTGGGATTTAGGAAAGAAAGATTTAGGAAAAAAATAAATAAATCCAAATGCCTAGAGTTTCAGCAGCAGTTTAACCTCTTTCAGCTACGTGACTTCACATAAGAAAACAAGCTATTGTTAAGCATTAACCAAGATTGCTGGGAATCTACCTCAATAATGAAATCTGGTCCGGTGATAGTATGAAAATCCTTGCTGCTGGCAAGGGAGTGTAAAACAGTGTGCAGTAGGAGTTTCACTCTGATTACATCTCTGCAAATGTGATAGCAGGTATTAGTTCACTGAAGGATTTTGTGTTGGTTTCTGTATGTCACAATAGAAACTTTTATACTGAAGCTAAAAGGTATTAAAATGAGCTTAGAATCCAAATCAGCACAAGCCTAATGGCTTAATTTGTCTCATCCAATGCAAAGCTGTTCCTGATCCCCTTTTTTCCTTCTTCTTACATAGGCTGTTATTAACACCAGAGTCCATTTTAAAAAAATCTCGTTTTTATCCTCAAGTGCTTCTAGGTGGTTGGGTGGCATGTTAAGTTAATTAACTAGCGAGTCTTTAATAAACAGAGCAAGGAGAAAACACACTTAACAGAAGTGATAACAATGAACAGTGAACATAATTTGTATGTTCACTGAACAAAAATCCCAAACAGACAGGACATAAATCAATATTTTTAACTTCATAATTTATTTATATAATGCAGAACGGGTTAATTTTGTATGCCGAATCAATCAAAAGACTATTGTTTTCAAAAAGTCTTAATTTCTCAGCTAAAATGCACACAAGTTTGTCCAAAAGCCGAAAAAAGAAAACTTCTGCAGTTTCTTTAGGGATTTTGGTTGAATGGTTGTGAATGTAAATCGCTAGGATTAAACCAGCAGTGGTAAACGGACCACTTTCCTGTCGACAAATAAAGGAAAACACTGAAAATGTTACCATCTCTTTTCGCAGCAGAGCCAGTGCTGCATCGAGGTTGGCCGGCTTGTTGGCCAGCAGGTTATCGGCATTGTTCCTGCCTCTGCTCAGGTCGTCCTGGATCATGGTTTTCTTCACGTACATCCTCTCCATTTCTCTCCAGGAGCCGCCGCTTGAGTTCAGCAACCCGCTCAGGCTCTTCGGCAGCGGCGGGAGACCCTCGATGCAGGCCATTCCCCCCAGCGTGCCGTTCGTTGACTTACCATTCATCGTCTTATGTGTTACGAAGCGGGGAGAGCTAGTGTCTATAAAGTCCTGTTTTTTTTTTCAGTTCAAAGACGCCACAAACACTGTTATCACACAGCAGTCTCCCACACTGAACAAACCGAGCAACAGCCGTGCTTTTCTCACCCCAGGGTAGCCAACGACGCCACGTTCAGTTATCCCGAGTGAAGCCGCTGGAATTCCGGTATGATCGTCAAAATAAAATCACATCAGCTTAAAAAAAGTGTGATGAACGTGGGAAGAGAGGAAAAACAAAAATAACAGAAACAATAATTGCTAAAGCATACTGGCTTTTTTCTGCCCGTAATATTATAAGGAGAAGCGTGAAAACTTTGCCTTGTAATATCCATCCATCTTCTTGCTCACTTATCCAATTCAGGGTTGCAGAAGGGCTGGAACCCATACCAGCTGTCACTGGGTGCAACACGTTCTCATCCCAGATCGCCAGTCCATTGTAGGGTTTAACCTTTAGATGCTGATAAATCTAGAAACATCATTTAACATGAAAAGCATGTTTTGGTGCTTTGGGAGGAGACCACTTGGATAATACAAGCTAGACACAAGGAGAGCAAGCACTCACAGCTGGCTTTAAGAGTCAACCACATATCTGAAATGTGCTAACCACTGCACCACCATGCTGTCCTGCTTCGAACCAGGATTAATAGAAGCCTTTCTTTTACTAGAAGTTATATTTGTACTACCTTTTTTCTGTTGCAGAATTCTCCCACAGGTGGATGCTTTGCATCTCACACCTCTTTTTTTTAATTACGATGTATCCCTTATGTTATAAATTAGGATCATAATTATAACATCTTATACCATTCTCAAGAAAAAAAAATCACTCCTGCAAGTATTTCTTTTACAAACATACAACTCAACAGAACACATGCACTGAAACAAAATAAAAACGTGGAACAATAATCAAAGTTTAAATGCTGTTCTAAGAGATCCTATTACAATCATATGGGTGTTTTCTCCATTTCTCCATTGCACTACTTTCAAGCACTTTGCAACCATGTCCTCTAATGTGTGCCTCTCTATTTTATGCCTTCTAGTTTTGTATATATTCATCTTGTTTGTATATACTCCTCTGGTCTGCTATTTATTCTTGCTGTCATACAATTGATATTTTTAATACTTGAACAGTTGGTGTGGCGTTACCAGAATTTCGTTGTACATGTCCAATGACAGTGGAAGGAGATTCCATTCTTCTATTCTATTAAACTTCTATACGACGTCCCCCGGCTTTTACTTTGAAAAGAACTTCTGGTTATGTTTTGGTGATTCTTGTAAAGTGTCCAAACTCGGATTGTGGCCGAATAGTAAAATCCGCTTCCTGTCCTTTAACACAGTGGCTGCTGGGCGTTTCCCTGCCAACACGTATATGCATAAAACATGCAGACTTTTATTTAAAACACATATATTTATAGGAAATCGTGTATCTTATTGAACAGATCTTTGAACAGATACAAAGAATACAATTTAAACAGACAAGAGATGAGATGGCATTTAAATGTACATTTGTACACAATCTACTCTAATACAACAAATTGCGCGATTATATTAAAAACACTGAACAACTGCTTACCCCTGAATTTGAAAAAAGAAATCTTAGAAATTTCACATATGTAAAAAATTGCTTCTACACTTAAAAAGAAATCACACATTGTGTGTAAATATGTCTACTCCAAATTTTCTTTTAGCATTAAACTTTAATGTTTGCCCGTTGGTTTATTTGAAGAGTGTGTCCAGGTGACCTATTGTAGGCAGAGGGGTTGAAGGTCGTGATAGTAGTGTGTGTGAAAGACAATAGTGCGAATAAAGGACAGATGGTGGGCCTTACTTCCACCCCCCAGCCTGCAGCCCGATCACAACAATAACACAACAATAACCATGAAATCAGCACAAAAGCATCACACACGCTACTCGGAAAGAAAGAAAGAAAGAAAGAAAGAAAGAAGCATGTGCTGTGCCACACACACACACACACACACACACACACACACACACACACACACACACACACACACACACACACACACACACACACACAGGCAGATGGATGAAGCCTGAAGCCCTGTATTCCTATTCGCTGTACTGAAATTAATGAAATCTTAAGATTCTTTTCTCTACTTCTGCTAATGTGCTTCTTATAATAACCATTAAAAGTGTTAAATGCCCTTATGAGACTCAGTCAGGGTCTTCATTGTGCATGAACTTACTTGCTTGCAAGTGGCCCCCCAAAAATGCTGATTTTATGATAACTTGTGCTTCTCTTGGCACGTTGTATAGCACAGAAAGTGAATATGTATGAGGTTCTAACGTTCTGCTACACATTTACTTTCAAAACTATTCAAAGTATGCTAAATTTGAAAGTATTTTGATAGACCCGACAGTTACTTTAGATTAAACATTTTTTAGAAATATTTTCTGCTTCAAGTTTTGTGACAATGACTGATATCAGCCTTATGTTAGTTTATAACATATAACATTTAGTAGCCGAGGTAAGATGAAAGACCTATGTGAATTCACTACTCCCAGTATATTAAGCCCTGCATGGAGGACATCATTAAAAATAACCAGGAGAATGGGAACAAATAAGCAAACAAACACAATTTTTAGATCCTTCTAATATTCATACATCCTTGTTAAAATGTGACAGATTAAAGCTGGCTAAATAAAGCATCATAATGTGTGAGAAAAGCAATTTAAGTAACTTTGGATGTGGAATGGTTATTGGTGTCAGACAGGCTGCTCTGGGTTTTTCAGAAACAGCCTGTTTACTGGTATTTTCCCTCACAACCATCTCCGAAAAAGAAAAATGTCCAGTGAGCTGCAGTTCTCTGAGTGAAACTGTCTTATTGATGTCAAAGTCTGAGGAGCATAGATAGGCTGAACGGAGCTCATAGGAAGACAGCAACTTAAACTTCATTAATTACTCCTTACAATCAAAGTATGCAGAAGAGCATCTCTGAATGTACAATATGTCAAATTTTTGAAGCAGGTGAGCTACAGTAGCAGAAGACCACACCAGGTGCCACTACTGTCAGCTAAGAACAGGAAACTGAGGCTATAAGAAAGCTAAGAGCCATTAAATCAGGCTTCATATTTGTATATTCATATTTAATAACTTTGAGACAACACAGGATGTCTTTGTGAAAACCTTGTCCTCATTGTCCTCCTCCCCGAAACCCTGCTCTTACAACAATTAGCCATCAGCTGATCGTTCACAGCTGTACAGTTTAGCCTTTTAGACCAATCAAAGACAATCTGTTTTGTCCAGGGTTTTTATAAACAGACAGGTCCTTCTATAAGCTCCCACCAGCAGCAGCAGCACCATCATCATCATCACTACCTCTTGAGATCAAAGGATTAGGCATATGATTGCAACCCCCTAGGGAGGCATGTAACCCTAGCAGGGTGGTGTTAATCTGCCTTTCGAAAAGCACAATGAGTTTGCGTCATTTACTGGATCCAGCTAATAATGGTCTAAAGATATCAGCTTATGTTGAGCTCACTGCTGGCAGTACAAAAGCTACCAAAAGAGCTTTATTCTGTTTCTTTTTTCCCTCAAAATTTTCAGTTGTATTTTTCTTTGTAGATTTCAAGCATTTGTATATCGGTCTGTGTCTATATGAGATATTATGCAATAAATCGCTAAAACAACTGTTATTGAGGAAATTAGTTAAGCTTAACGAATACATACATTTCATGCACACACACACACACACACACACACACACACACACACACAGACATATGGCAGTCTATCCCTCAAGCTTGAGCAGTGAGGACTGGGAGCTTGAGGGTCCTGCACAGTATCTTAGCTGTTCCCAGGACTGCACTCTTCTGGACAGAGATCTGACCCCTTGGTATTTCTTAAGTTTCTTGTGTTCCTTCTTCCTGATGTTGCTGCCATTCTGTATCACTACATCGATTACTACGGCCGTCTTCTTCTGCTTCTCTACCACCACTATAGCCATTACCATTTTGTCTTTCTATATCTGGAAGTCCTACAGGATCTTAGCTCGGTCATTCTCCACCACCCTAGGGGGTGTCGCCCACTTTGACCTCGGGACTTCCAGGGCACACTCGGCACAAATGTTCCTTGGTAATGGTGTTCCATGTATGCCCTGGCTGCTATCATCTTGCACCCTGCTGTTATGTGCTGAATTGTCTCAGGGGCATCTTTACACTGCCTGCACCTGGGGTCTTGCCTGGTGTGATAGACCCCAGAACCCAATGGATCTTGTACTTAGAGTACACAGCTTGGTCAGCCTAGTCTTGCAGACTTAGCTGACTGCTCAGTCTACCTGGTGTTTTGCTGGTGTTTTGCGCCTGCTAGACCGAGCAGTCAGTATAGGTATACAATACAATATATATATTATATATTAATGTATGCGATATATATGAAAACATTAAGAAATTAACTTATTAAGATACTCATGTGTCCCTACACTAGAAAGATTTAGCATCATGAAGAATAGAAATATATTAAAAGAGTGTATTTAACTCGGAAACAAGTACATTTCAGAACATTGGACAAGCTGTCACTGCTGAGATTATGAAATATTTTTAACCACAGAAGTTCTAAGTGACAGTTGATGAAATGGCAAAAGCTGTTAAAACAGCAGTTCAAGAGTAAGTTTAAACAGATTTGATTTCTGCAGAGGGATTACTTGCACCTCTACATGAAACAATAGCTCTTAAACAAACAGCAGCCAACAGGGTGACATTGCACTGAACTTGGAGCTTGTCTGGAATGCATCACTGTCAGGGAGAAACAACAGACCTGAAAGGAAATAATGTGCGTGTGTGTGGGGGTGTGTTTGCAGGAATTCAGCTCCCTATAGCGTGTCAATGTACAGAAGTTCAGGAAAGAGGGCTGGCCTGGACTAACAACTGCTGTCATGGATTTTTCCTCTGCTCAGAGGCCCTCTGCGGTGGACGGGGGTGACTGTTTCCTCCCTGTGACAAACGGGAATGGAATCAGACCGAATTACAGTAACTGCAGTGGCAATATTCTACACAGTGGTATTATAAATTAAACACACACACATAACACACACAATTATAAAAGGTTTGGAAGCCACATTAGCAATAAATAGCAATAAAAACTCAAAGGCTGGTCAGATAATACCACAGCTGAGCTTTG